TGCAATGAGAAATAAGGAGCATGACAGGTGAAATAAGGATAAAGTACGATAAAGTAAATATGTCGTATGGGAAATATGGAACCATAAATTGAATGGTAAATGAATGGGGTGCAATGAAATAAAGAAAACAGTGTTCTGATTTTAATAATGATAAAAGAAGGGGAAATAGAATGGGAAGGGAGAAATATAAGGAAAAAGAGAGTGAAAGAAATGATCAAAGAGATTTCTTATAACGCGGGGTATGTGCAAATGTCGCAGCTGGTCGCCAATACAAACTGTGTAATTTAGCTGCCTTTGGGAGCCCCATCGCGACTGATTTAAGAGCTGGATATTCAGGCTCTTCGATCAAATTAGTCGATCAAGATTTAGTTCGGATAAACTTGGGAAAGAAGTACCTATAAAGTGGACACTTTTTCCAATATGGTTAAATTATTCTTGCCTAACCAGGTATCGTGTCCACAGATCACTTAGGGGATCCTTATCTCCAAATTGAATGCTTAAAATTAGTATCCTTCCATGCAGATCAAAACAGTCCGAGATATTCAGGTGTACGTTCAACGAAATGGCTATATTATTCAACAGGTTGCGACAGATTGTGAATGTGATACGTATTTCCGGTGGATGAAGATATAAAGCTGTGTCACACAAATTTCTACCGATACTGGTATTCGGAACACGTCTTCGCGTTCTATAAAAAGAATCTAAGTAAATAGTATGCTCAGAATATTCATAAAAACTCGAATGATCATATTGCATACCGGCAGTTTCCTATTTTACAATTTCTAGCAAGATTCTCCAAAGGAAAATTAAATGAATCTATACGATATCCCATTTCGAAGATAAACGAATTAAAATAAATTAAAAAATTTCCATTTAACTAAATTTCTGTTTAACCCCTTGATGTCTATGATTTCTTTTACAACTCTAATCGATACGGCCACTTTGTCATTAATAATTTATTTGAAAAATAGAAAAATTCGAAGCATATGTTACGCCTATATTACCTTTTAAGTATAATAGTCGATTACAGAAGAACAATATTTACTTTGCAATCGAATAAACTGAGTAATATATATATATATATATATATTTGTAATATAGTAATATATGTATATTTGTTGAATCATGTTGAAAATCTTCACCACGAGTCTCACTCGTTGTAGGACAAGGGGTTAACGAGTAATTAAAAATCTTCGTCAGTGAACTTTCATGCACGGTAAGCTTAATTCCAGTCGCTCGTAAATATCTCGAAGGTGTTGCGTTAAGATGGCGTCAAGGGTGCGAGGGTTTAATAAATTATCGCCGGCGAAGGGTTGATTGGCACGTGTCACGGCTAAGAGTCGGAGTAGCTCATTTCTATCCACGTTGTAACTCATTCCACCGATAATGACAATAACCCGCCGCACGTCCCGTCCTGTCCCTTTCACGTCGCGACGCGACGCCTACAATCGGCCTGTCCGACCAGCAATACGCGCGCGCGCGCCTCTACCTGTGGCGAAGCAGGTGCCATCACGGCTTGTAATGTAATAATCCGCCGCGTGGCCAGGTCAAACGATTATTACCGGCTACAGGTGTTACTATCGGGTAAGGCAGGCCCAGGCAACAAAGTTGGCTGCCGACCGCAGCTTTTATGGGACCACACAGCACGATAGTCAACGGGAGTGACCGAAGTGTGCGCTACCTGCGCACCGCACCGAGAAAGAAACCATGAAAAACAATAGTAAATACTGAACCATAGGTCACTAAACTATGTCCAGTAGGCACTACAATTAAACTATTGACAGAATGAGTACCTTTATAAATGTATTGTATTCGGAAATATCTTCTATTACTGGATATATAAATATTATATAGGGAACATAAACTTGGTTACCTGTATATCGGGAAACCATTATTCTGTAGACATAAGTAGAAACAATAGTTACTTTGATGGGGAATTAGTGGTTTAGGGTTAATAATATTTAAGTCAGTTTTCGGAAGTAATTTTTAGCTGTATTTCGTTGTTATAGAATAATTTTAGAATAATTGGAGATCATAATTAAGTATATAATCGAGTGAAATTTGTATTTAGTAATATTAGTAATTTTCCAAAATTTAGCGAAGCTAGAGGATATTAAGAAATTTTATCTAATAAATAACGAGATAACTGTTGTTCAGTTGTTGTCTTCATCAATGTTAAAAATAGTTTCCTTTAATTATTTTCGTGATCATTCTTGTTAAAATTAGGCAATGCCATTTTATGGTAAAAACTAAATTTTTTGATGCATAAATTTTTATGTAAGAATTGTAGGATATAATAAAATTTCTAGAAACTGTTTCGAGGCACTTGATCATAAATTCTCTTCGATCGATCGTTAGCCGTGTTTTACGTGCAATAACGAAGACGTTGTTCTCGTCAGTTGGTGTCCGAATCTTTTAGATGCAATCGATGATAACCTTTACTGCCGAGACGTTTCATCGAAGAGTTTAGGTGAACGGTCACTACGAAAACGATGTCGTTCGGTGGAGATTGGCTCTCACCCGACCAGAGTATCGAGGAGCAAACCGTGTCTTTTATTTGCAGACGATTCTACTCGGCGACAGCGGAGTTGGCAAGACCTCGCTGTTGGTCCAGTTCGATACCGGGAGATTTCAGCACGGAAACTTTGCAGCCACTGTTGGCATTGGGTTCACGGTACGTAGACACGACGACGTTCAATATTTATTCATTTGTTTAGGCAACAGCCTGCGACTATCGCGACTGTTTAATATCGCTTCGCGATCGCGATCGAGATACTCCGAACTTATTGATTTATTGCTTTTACCAACTTTAACAGAATGTTTAATAGAAACTCTGAAAAATGAATATTAAATTTTTTAATCAAATTAAATTATAATTATATATATTATATTATCGAAATTATCCTTTGCATTTTCAAAATGTGTCAACATAATTTTAATTACATAAAAAATATCACATAAATAAAGTATTGGATTCTTTTCTTTCAAAAAAGAAAGATGATTCACAACATTCTCCAAATCGCGTTTCGCAAATAAATGATTCTTTGTTTTGCATATCTTGTACGAAAATATTAAAGAAAACATCTAACTTCCAAGATTGCAAATTCTTCAAGTAGAGAATATTAATCTCTGTGCATTTAGCAGCTCCCAATTTTATTTCGCACAACGCATTACCATAAAAATCAATTCCCATGCCTAAACAATTACATTAGCAATACAAGATCGCGGGTAAAGACAAAATAAAACCAAAGCGTTAGGGGATGCGTCGAATCTCAATTGAAAACTACTTGAATTTCATTCCAGCGAACGATTTGGAGACCGTTGAATCGATCGTGATCGCGTTCCGCGATAAGTCGCGGAGGATCGCGCGCGACAGCCGCGTGTATCAGCGTCTGCCAATGCGAGCAATGCATTTATGCGCGATGCCAACCGCCCCGAAGCTGCTTTTACAGCCGATCTCTCGCGGGTATTTACACGCTCGGGAAATTTATGAGCGAGCTCGTCGTTTTTCCTTGTCAAAGCGGATCGTCGATTTTGTCGCGATCCCGCGCGGACTTTCACTATCATTTTATTTTAGCGTCTCGACTTAACGAGAGGGTAACCCCATCTTATCCCCATCGCGCTCTTGTCAATGTTGATTTTCGATTTTGTCACGGACCGCCGCGAATCCGACCGTGTTGCCTGGCGTCTCGAACTACCGCCATTTTATTTTGTACCGGAAGATTAACCCCTTTCCTTACGATTTATTTCGCGACTATCCTTCTTCAAATTCACGATTAATTAAAAAAAGCAATAAATCTGAAATCATTGTAGGTATGTCCGTGTTTATTATAAAAATTAAATGTTAAATAAGAATCTTTAATTTTCACTTGAACAAAAATAATACTCGTATTCGTTGAATTCAGCTTGAAGACTTTATTATGAGTTCCACTCGATCTTTTAAGGTAAGGGGTTAACGAGGCTAGAATTTCGACATATTCTCGTCGCTTTATCCTGTCGGCGTCCTGTTTTAGAAAGAATTCTTCTAGAAGATTTGTATCTACGTATTTTAAACATTCTTTTAAGTCTTAAAACAGTTGTAGAAGTTCGAAAACGATTTTGGAGTGTGAGAGTTCGAGTTTCGTCGAATAACGAACCAAAATATCTGCATGGCGCTTTATAGAATATTTTATTGGTAAGATCATTGTCAATATCATCTTCTTTATTGAAAATTATACGATAGCATTGTACCAGATTTATTGAGCAACGTTCGTTTCAATTGAATTAATTACGAAACTCTCATATGGAACTTATTAAAAAATTTTATGCTCGCCGCGCCATTTTGGAGATTTCAATCAAGAAGATATACGACACATACGTTTTACCAATAAAGAAAGATATTATTCTTAATAAGATTTGCGAATGGTTGCTCGCTGTTTACGAAAACGAGAATAATTAAAAAGTATTTTAATCTAACTTCCCCGGGGATAAACAGAACGAGTATGAACGAGACTGCGTATAATTACTCGAATTCGCACGGACTTGTATAAGCGATGCTCCGCGATTGTGATTCCGATCGGACGGAGTTGTTCGTTCATTATCGAGTCGGTGAATTTTTAAATTCGGCCGCTTGGAAAGGAACGGGATAATATTAATAACGTACATCGAATATAATTTTCGTTACCAAAAGCCGGGGCATTATTTGCCCGCGCCCCTGTGTGTACCGGAGGAAACCGCAATAACATTGATCGAGAGTAATATTCAATTGTAATTCACGACGATATCACGTCCTCGTTAAATACACCGTATCGAATACTGCAAATAACAGGTCGGCGATCCACAAAAGCATTCGAATCATTAAATAAAGCAATATGTAACGCCGCGAGCGAAACTATGACAAACCTGGCGTTTCTGTATAAGATGAATGCTCACGTCCCTACTGTGCAACGTGACTGACAAACGTATTACTGGAATAGTATTTATCGTTATTAATCATCCTACTATCGTAATTTATTACTCACCAAATATTTAGATACAGCCGACGCCGTTTTCATTTGTGTAACTCCATTCCTTATTCTGAAAATATAGGAAAATAATCACGGCAACCGTAAGAACAGAAATGATCAATAATAGTGATAGAGGAATGAGAATTTTCAGGTGGCCAAAAGAAGTTTCTAGAAAATGAAATAAAGAGTTACGAGTTGTAAATTCTTTTCTACTTTGCTTGAAAATTGTTGCAAAGTGGGTTTCCTTTAATGTAATTGTCGGAAGATTTTTTTTTCATTGCTTCAGGAAGAAATCTGTCTTTGTGGTTTCTTCTTTTCAGCCAAGTCGACTGCGTCATCTTTTAAATTTCTATACCAATAAAGAAATTATAAACCAGCCGACGATTAAGCATGAAGTATAAACGAGTATGCTCATCGTTGATTTTTCAAGTGACGTCATGTCGGTCACGTTAGACTTGCTTGTCTACAATCAAAACAATCCAACAATTTAAGCGTAAATCGTGAAGTACAATTTTACACTTGAAACATTTAACAGCTTCTTGAAATCTACACGACACTTTTCGAAACTAACTGACCTGGGAATCACACATAAAACAAGAAACAAAGCTATTTTATTCCAATACTCCACAGATTTACCTTATACGAAGTTTAATGTTAAGAATGAAATTCTAGCTTTACTGCATCAAGTCAAATTTCAACTGACAATTCTTCTCGAATGCAAAGGATCACGGAGTTCCATATTTAATTAACTTCTCTATAAAAAAGGGCTTTTAACGATTCTACAAATCCTCGTCAACAAAGGATTAACACTAAAACCACCACACCCAATAAAATAAGCCTCAGTTTTCTTATTCCACAATAATTGATATTACTCGTACTATAAGAAATGGACGAAGAAACCAAAAAAATCTATTTCTACAGTTTCGATAAGGACTGCATATAATCGTACCAAACACTCAGTAATTCTATAGTTTTCTTAAATTCTTCCTTCGAACATGTCGGATGGACTTTTTTTGAAGGAATTGCATCGGCGGTTGCGCGCAAAATCGATATTGTCTCGTTTCCCTGCGCAACGTTACGATACCGCACTTTCGAGTCGCGGGAGACAGACGTCCGCGGCGAGGGCAACGTCGTGCCGTATCGTCGAGAAAGTTGAAATTGCTCTATCAAGGCGGCCGGCCGGTCGGTCGCAGATTTCTCCTGTAACACGTGTCTGTCTCGTGACGGCCGTGTCTCGTCGCGGCTTTCCCGCGGAACTTTCGTCTCTCGTTACGAGCACATCCCGCGCAGCCACGGGAAAACGCCTGTCCGCCGCGCGATCCCGAACCAAGACGCTCGCGGCGCGGGTTCGTTCGCGATTTTAATTGGCCGAGTTATTCGCGGCGCGGCCCGCCGTGTTTCGTAACGATTCCGTTACGCGAGGAACGCGTTTAGCAATCGGTCTCTCGCCCTCCGATTTTATTTAGGCTAAGTCGCGGAGAGATGACCCAATCATTTTAACACTAAAACTACCGAGGTCTATTGAGGTGTTTATTAACCTCTTGACCTACAACGTCGTATAAGGCTCGTGACGTAAATTTTAAATCGGTATTGACGAATCTAAGTGTTATTTATTTTGTTTAAATAGGTATAAATTAAATGTTATTCTTCTATTATGAATTGTTAACGTTTTGAGTAAATGTGGACGCGGAATAAGCATCAAAATTTCTTCTTTTCCTAATGAATTATTAACGATAAAGTAGGTGTATCGATTGTGGTTAAGATATAAATCATAGGGCAAGGGGTTAATGTAAAGTTGTGTTTGTGTATTGCTGAATCAAGTTCTTTGGTAATCTCTTAGAGAATCGTGTTATTTTTTCAGTAATTGTAAACAGAAGAAATCAGAGGTGGGTTATTTCTATCTCTTTGGTAATTCTAGTGTTGAAAGGACTCTTACATCGCAAATATCATTACTGCCTAACGAAAAGAAAGTATACTTATGAATAGTAATTGTGTAGGAAGAATAGTTAAGTAGGCTTCTGTGGAATATTCAGTATATCACTAAGAACAATTGAAAATTTAGATGTCTAATAATGTAAATGAGATCAGGTCATCTCACCCGGAATTAGTCTCACCGGAATTTCCTAAAATATTTGTGTAAAATTAGGGAACTTCGTTCGATAATGTAGCGATTGAAGAGTCAATGTTTGTTTAATCTAGATAGTAGAGAGTTTGAAAGAAAAAATAGTGGATAAATGATTTATTGTATTTTTTTATCTGTAAGGAATTTCGTATATTGTAAAATATTTTATAATATTGAAGAAATTTGTTTAATAATACAGGAATTGATGGAGATTCGAAATATTTTAGTGAAATGGAAACAGTTTGCTTGATAACACAGGGATTGAAAAACAGAATTTTTGCGTACGGAAGAGTTGAGATTCTACGGGGAAAAATAAGTCGAAAATGTAAAGTAATATCTTTTCATTTCAGACTTTGGTTCCGAGAAAATTGAATGTGAATATTTGGTCAGCACGGTTGGATTATTCTTAAATACAAATGGTAGAATTGACAGGATTCTTGTCAAAACAAGCGAGTGAAAAACGTAGAATAAAATTCTTCCGCTAGAAGTTTCGTTTTTAAAAAAATCGAGTTTCAATATCGGAACTGTTTCCACCCCAATTAGTTCGGTTAATGAAGATTCTACTGTATAGGTAGAGTTACTTCTACATACACTTACGTGCCAACTGATAAATACAGAGAAATACTTAAAATTGATATAAAATGTATTTTTATAAGCAATGGATACTTCATTCGCGTATCATTCGATTCCAATAAAACGTATAAGCACTATTCTCACATGCAAATACCCCAAACATCACCTACACGGTGATTTTCAAATATCTGAACACTAAAACAACCAAGTAGTTAAATTGACTTTTTGAAATTCCTCTGCAGAAACTCTAAAAGTGAATCTATCGAGACTATAATTGAATTACAATTCAATTTGTGCATTGATAAATCAATTTCTTTAATAATCTCTTACAGAAACGTCTGTTATTTTTTAAATAATTGTAAAAAAAAGAAATCAGGAATGGGACATTTTTATGTGTCTGGTAGTTTTCGTGTTAACTCGATCTAATGAATGTAAATACCTACTTCCATTATAAACGTATCGATTTTAAATGCTTTGGTGGACTAGTGTATGTAAATATAGTGAACGACTGTTGTTTTTCTTTGATCCACAGGCGTCGTTCCCGTGTATCCGACGTAAATATTCGACATTGCATATTCACGGTGCGTCGAGGCGGCGCGCTACTCCATTATGTAATTACCGAGCCGAACCGATGCGGCGCTTATCTCGGCGCCGCGCTCGATCTGAATTTCATTGACTCCGCGTCGTCCGCCGCTTCTAATAATTACATAATTCCCAAGTATCCCCGTATCGGCTGGGAATCAAGGCGGCACGGCGCGGCGGCTTCGCTCGAGAACCAACCGTACGATCGTACTCGAAACTTTAATCCTTCCGCCCCGTTTCGTGCGAGAAATACATTTACGAAATACTTGATCGCACACTTTTTCAGGCCTCGTGTTAAAAACATTGTAACCTGCAGCATTTTTACCGCCTTAAAGGAATCCCGGCTACCTGAATCGAAATTCAAAAGAGAAAATTGCAAGCTAGCTTTGCGCGACAGTTTGTAGCGACGTCTTCATTTTGTATGTTTCCTTCGTATGAAATTTAATTCTAATTTTATACATTTAAAATACTTGAAAATGTTTATAATATGACAGGAATTATGATTATATTTGTCATTTAATTAGATAAAATGTAGGTTTGAATTTATTTTGAATTCAATTTTCTGAAACTTTTTCCTCCGTTTCAGGTTTATTTTTTTGGAAACATTTTATTGAATCATGCTGGAATTCATTTAAAATTTGGATACCAAGCAATTTTCATGTCATCGAATTTTGAACAACAGACAGTTTTCTACAAATAGAGAAACTATAGTTGGAAACTTGCTTGGTATTTCTAAAATCCACTTCCCATGAGTCCCCGTTACAATTCGAAGTTGGTGGCGCTGTGCATAACGTGCATTTCGACTAATACGTTTACGAGGACTTTATGATGAATAATGTTACCGTTTTCTCGAACAGATAACAAAAGATAGATATGAGTAATGCATGTTAAAATTCAACGTCTACAAAGTATTTCTTTATTGCTAAAAGAATCCTTGAGCATAAAAAAGGAATCTCTGAATAATAGAAGAAGTTTTACGATGGAAATTGACTTACACTAACAAGAAACTCATAAATTCAACTTTGTAAGAGAAACAATTAATATGACACTCCTATTAAAAGCAAAATAACTGCTTATAAAACTCTTTCTTAGTAACCGCACACATAAAATTCATTTAAAAATGAAACGGTCGTTAACTACTCGTTTCATAGAAATAAAATCCTACATAAAACGATTGATTATGATCATAAAAAACTTCACAACTTCATATACAATTTATTCGAATACGGCAAGTTTTCTCGAGCACATTAACGAGAGGCCATATCAAGGTACATTTTATCGTTGAAAATCATTTACATATGTCGCAAAGATTTTTATTCACGCGACAAATCCACGAGTTTACAAAGTGCTTAACACGTTGACTGCCGTGGCGGTCACGGATGATTGGTGTTTCCGGTTTGATTGAAAACAATCACAAAAATCTAAAACAATTACTGTCGAATGAAAATGTTTAATAACGTAAAAAACTAGATAGAAGTGTAATATATAATCTATTAACTTTTAATTATTTGCACAACATAATTTTTTGACAAAACAACACGATAACAGTTCAATATAAAGAAAACGTTGATAGGACTTAATACAATAAAACAGAAAATATATCTCAAACTATAACAAACATAATAAATAAAAAAGGAAACAGTATTTTTTACATTTCTGCACAGTAGAGACTTTCGTCTGTTAAGGGTTAGTAATTGTTTCTATTTATCTTTGCCATGAAAGAATAAGCGATACACAAACCGCTAAAAATGTCCATGGCAGTCAACATGACAAACAACGTCACTGTCAATAAG